AGTGGGACTTTAACAAAAAAAAATCAAACAGGCCTATTCTGGTGGGTGCGGTGATGCGGTGGTGTAACATGTAAGGCTGGTGCTGCCAATAAGCACCTAAAATCTGTCACAAAGAACCGGCAAAAGTAATGATTATGAATATGTAAAATATAGCAATGAGATATTTTAATTGTTTATTAATAAACAAGTGTTTTCTTTGCCAGTGTCGGCTGCAAAGATGAAGTTGACGATGCTGACTCACGATCTTCGCAGTAGTCAACGCGCCAGAGAGAAATACACAATTCATACGGATTATCTGCTTATTACATAAGCAGAGAGCAGTCTGTATTCTTACGTTTTGAATTGTTCTGTTTAAAAGTAGACCTGTCTGTGAGGCAAGTAGGCTACCTTATATGCTGAGTTTCGGTTCATTTATGAGACGAGCTCCAGTTCACACGCCGGCGCCTCCGTGTTTATCGTCTGCTATATTTACTTCTTATTTATTAAATCCAGGCAATTGGTTGATGAAACATTGATTAAAATTAAGATACAATTAATACAAAACTAAATGCACTTTAAAGAAAGGTTTTGTGCTTTCTGTTTGGTGTGTCTGTGAAATTTTTAAAGCATCTTTTAGTGCCGCGTTCAGAGCGCTCATGTCCGTAACATTGTTTTTTCCTCATAAATGCAAACCCAATTTTTTTTTTTTTACAATTTTTTTTGTTCTGTGGAGACTACAGTTAGGCCTACTCATAATTTGTATTCTGAATACGTAACGCTGGTATATGTATTCCGTTACTCCCCAACACTGATATTAGTATAACCTTATCTGCAATATATTTTAATAACACGGTTTTGGCGGTTATAGAGTTTATTGTGGCAAAAATTCATCTCAAACAAACATCACTGCGTAAGAGACACTCAGAGTCAAATTATATAAAATAGAAGTATTTATTCTTGCAAGAATAGGAGCAGTCTAATACACAGTTGTTACCCTGTGCAGAAGAGTGACACACCCCCAGACAGACTGAACTAGCTTTTATCTTAGTTTCAAGGCCTTCTTCCCCCCAGAGCCTTCCTCCCAGTAGTTTTCCATAGACGTCACTAGTTGGCCCACTAAGCTCCCCTGCACTAAGTGGCCTTCTGACATCTAGGTCAGAGGTCCTTGTTCGTCTGTTCTCTGGAGTGTCTCCCTCTTCTGCCTCCCCAGGTACATAAACAGAATCCTCTCTCACTACAAGTGAGAGACACACATGTGACATTCTTTGAATCATCTATATTTAACTAAAGATCAATGAATATCATTAAAATTGCCACCACAAGTTCTAATGACGGTGTTCAACTATAACCATCGGTCTCACGGTTATATAATAACCGTCACACCCCTAGTTTTAACATAAACAATAATAAAAATAAAAAACCTTTCACAAACAGGTCTTTGATAACTATTCAAATGTAAATAAATATATATGTTAGGGGTGTGACGGTTCACAAAATTCACGGTTCGGTACGTTTTTGATACAGCAAAAAGAAAGAAAAGCCAGAGAAATTTCCTTGATTTAATTTTTTTAATAATTTTTCATCAAAGTATGATAATTTTTTACTTTGAGCAGTGATGGAGCTACACTTGACTCTTCTTAGGAGCATATAAAACAAAAACAGCTCCTTGCTCCTTGAAAAAAATTAATTGTAATATTGTAGTAGTTATAAACAAAGGTTTATTTTATTTCAGATTAACATTTGAGGGCAGCAATTTTATTCATAATGTCGAAATAAAACCGACGTAACGTTACTTGAAAGCATTATAGCCTACTATTCCTGCCAAACTTCCATGGTTACAGTTAGTAGTGTTACTACAGTAAATCCATGGTGAATGTTGCTGATCTGTGGGCACTGGATAGTTCATTCATGGCACAATGTTTATTCCTGTTTTCCACGTCAGCGCTGTTTGATCCGTTAATAACGGAGAAATGTGAATGTTTCTCACTAGATCTCGCTGCGATATTATTACTTCAGTGGCAAATTCAACTGCTTTCTTTACTGGATCTCTTAGTGCTGTGTAGTAACAGTGTCGCTTGATCAAGACGCTGGATTGGTCCAAACTGATAAACGATCCGTCAACCACACAATAACGAGTAGCGCAGCTGCAGTTTCGTTCCGCTTACATTACGTTTGCTATTTGATGTTGGGCAATGTTGTGGTCGCGGCAGCATCTCTTACATTATGAGCACGCTTGCCACGCCCCTACATTTTAAATAACGAAATTTTGGTCAGCAGGAAAAATAGTCCAACAAACCGTTCGGTTTGTAATGCACACTGAACCGAAAGCCTCGTACCGAACGGTTCAATACGAATACGAAAATATATATGTATATGTGTGTGTGTGTATATATATATGTATGTGTGTGTGGAATGCTTTATATCAGGCTTGATGTAATTTTACTTGATTTGTGATTTAATAACTGTTTCATTTCATTGATTCGAGTACTAAAATTTTCTATGCATCTCTGCTGCAAGCTAAACCACAACAGTGGCGTTTGTATTTATTTATTTTACATGTGTATTTTTTTGCTTTGATTGTAGCTGCTGTCATGAAATGGGACCCAGCTGCAACAGAGGCCCAAATAAAGTCTGCAGCCGATCATCTGAAACATGCCCCCGGGAGAGTCGGGGCTTGCCGCTATAAATGAAGCTTGTGAAGCTTATAGCAGCCACATTTTGTTAATTGATATGTTATACTGTTTTAACAACATTTTATAGATTATTTAAAGGGAAATTGTGTTAATTTATAACTTTACTGTTCTGGCTTTTAAGTTTTGGTCCAGTAGAACAAAATAGTAATAAAATATATATTTTGAGATTTAAATAGTTGATTTCTTGGAGTGATCAGTTTGGTTTACAGGCAAATGGTAAGCAGTTTATTACAATTATATTGATAAGATATACAAATGCAAGACTTGTATATACACTACACAGTTCCCGTATTCAATTGAGTATTCAATATTATCAAAATTCTTTCAAATCTTATTTAGGTCTATGGTCTGTGTGTCTGCAGTTTCATGACACGACAACCATTAACAATGAGTAACTGGGTTTTTCTCAGTGAGAACTAACTCACTGCCACTGTTTTGAAGTAAAGATTTTTTAAAGTTGGATCCTTGCAAAATGCACAAATGGGATTTCCGTTTCAATATGGGTCTTTAACAGTCTTCTTTGACATTTATACTACAGAAAACGTGACTAATACAACTTTTATTCTGGCTGCCTTTAGATGTCTAACAATTACGTCTGTAGCATGTCTTTAATTGACGTCTAAACAATGTCCAAAATTTTTTTATAAAAAACGTTCATTCTGGCTCCTGTGAAGACGTCTTCTGGATGTCTAACAATTACGTCTGTAGCACGTCTTTAATTTACGTCTAAACAACGTCCAGAAAAGACGTATAAAAACCTTTCATTCTGGCTCCTGTGAAGACGTCTTCTGGATGTCTAACAATTACGTCTGTAGCACGTCTTTAATTTACGTCTATACAATGTCCAGAAAAGACGTATAAAAAACTTTCATTCTGGCTCCTGTAAAGACGTCTTCTGGATGTCTAACAATTACGTCTGTAGCACGTCTTTAATTTACGTCTATACAATGTCCAGAAAAGACGTATAAAAAACTTTCATTCTGGCTCCTGTAAAGACGTCTTCTGGATGTCTAACAATTACGTCTGTAGCACGTCTTTAATTTACGTCTAAACAACGTCCAGAAAAGACGTATAAAAACCTTTCATTCTGGCTCCTGTGAAGACGTCTTCTGGATGTCTAACAATTACGTCTGTAGCAAGTCTTTAATTTACGTCTATACAATGTCCAGAAAAGACGTATAAAAAACTTTCATTCTGGCTCCTGTGAGGACGTCTTCTGGATGTTTAAAAATTACGTCTGTAGCACGTCTTTAATTGACGTCTAAACAACGTCCAGAAAAGACGTATAAAAAACTTTCATTCTGGCTCCTGTGAGGACGTCTTCTGGATGTCTAACAATTACGTCTGTAGCACGTCTTTAATTTACGTCTAAACAACGTCCAGAAAAGACGTATAAAAAACTTTCATTCTGGCTCCTGTGAGGACGTCTTCTGGATGTTTAAAAATTACGTCTGTAGCACGTCTTTAATTGACGTCTAAACAACGTCCTGAAAAGACGTATAAAAAACTTTCATTCTGGCTCCTGTGAGGACGTCTTCTGGATGTCTAACAATTACGTCTTTTAGACGTATTATAGACGACTGTTTGCTCGCTGGGTAGAGGTTCGAGAGAGAGAGAGAGAGAGAGAGAGAGAGAGAGAGAGAGAGAGAGAGAGAGAGAGAGAGAGAGAGAGAGAGAGAGAGAGAGAGAGAGAGAGAGAGAGAGAGAAAAGAAACAAAGAGAGAGAGGAGTGGAGGTCAGTGAATTCCTAGATGAGGAGGAGCCAGAGCAGGTAGTCAACATAAGCAAATTAAGTGTGACGATAATGTAATTCACAGGCAGAGGGATTTGTTAGTTTGATGAACAGATTTGTTGGTGCAACTGAGAAGAACAAAATGTGACACTTCTGGACAGCTAAAATAATCTGTTTGAATATTCTCTAAACCCATCACTCCCTGCACTCCCTTTCTCCTCCAGCCAACATCATCCAGCTCGGATTAAGCGGCTTTAATTTTGTCCTCCTGCTAGTGTGATGATAGCACAATATTGCATTTCAAAGTCAGACATCTTGTTTTTCACACCCTGTTTAATGGAAAATGTAATAGTTTGAGTCTGAATGAACATTTTCTTGTACAAGTATCAAATAGGTGTTCTTATCTCTTCTTCTCTGGTCAACATATTTCACAGCTCTGAGATTAAATGTTTTCATCTTATAAGAAATCAGTAGGTTTTGTTTAATTGAATTACAGTGGTTCTTCTATTTTTAACAGTATTAAGAATTTGTGTGATTTCAGGATTCCAACTGTGTCCAAATTTTGTGCAAAAATAATCCCTTTGTCTTTTCCTTAGACATTTCATACTCCGAGTCTTGGTGACGAAGAGTTTGAAATACCCCCCATCACCCCTCCTCCTGAGACCGAGCCTGGTATGGGCCTCCAGGAGGTGGACTCACCTTTCCCCAGGCTACCTGACCACCCCAACTCTCAGCGGGGGTCATTCACCCCGCAGTTCCCACCCCAGAGCCTGGAGCTGCCCTCGATCACCATCTCCAGAAACATGATGGAGCAGGAAGGACGAATCAACAATGGACATCCAGGGGTAAGTGTCTGGTTATTTGCTTGGGCATCTTAAAAATCTTATTGTTTACAGATGTTGAAGGCAGCTTTATACAAAGGCAACAAATTCCACAAAATAAATTTCCACATCATCATTCACTGGCAGTTACATTTAGATTTTAGCTTCACCTGTATTTAGGTGCAGATTTAAATCCAGCTAGTTTTCCTCCTCTAAATGCAAATAAGTTTGCCAAAGGTGTTATGTGCAACAAATCAAGATGCCTGATGTTACGTGTCAGTGTTATAAAACTAGTTTGTAGACAAAGCCTTAAAGGGATAGTTCACCTATAAATAAAAATGCTGTCATCATTTCATGTCATTTTCTATGGAATGCAAAAGGTATCCTGGCCACTCTTTCCATTTTAATGAAAGTGAATGAGGTTTGGTTCTCTCAAGCTCCAAAATGGAGGAAAAAACACATACACCATAAAAATATCATAAAAGTGCTCTCTCTATGACTCATGCGCTTTAAATTCCAAAGCTCTTCCTAAGCTTTGAAGGAACAGACTGAATTTAAGTCATTATTCACTGACAATCTTGACATCCCCTCTTGTTCTCCTTGGTGAGTTTATCATCGGTTCTCAGGTTCATCTCACTGACTCTATGATCTGGTAGTAATGGTTAACAGCTCACTGGATTATAAAATTATCATTAATTAACTTCAGTTTTGGTTTGTTCATCACACAAAGCTATTGTATGGCTTCAGAAGACTTTGAATACAGTGCACGAGTTTTGTGTTACTTTAATGGTCAATTTTTTTACCTTAAAAATTGAAAGCTCCAATACACATTTATTATAACTTTGTGGAAAAGAGCGACCAGTATATTCTTTTTTTTTTTTTTTTTTTTTTTTGTGCTCCATTAAAGAAATAATGTCATGCGTGCTTAGAACGACATGAGGAGTAGAAAATTATGACAGAACGCTTATTTTTGAAAAGACAGCAGACTTTCTAACAGACAGTAGATGCAATAAAATTGGTCTGCTTGGCTGAATATATTTATTCTTTAACCTTGTGTCGCTGTGATGACTAACATGTAAGGTAAAATAAAGGTTTGGGCAAGCATTTGCTTCATAATAATCATGTTTTATGATCAAGCTTTTATAGCTGTTGATTCAGGTAGAGAAATGGATCCTAAATGCCATAGACATGGATTCACCAATAAGGGAAACATTGAAAATGTCATGGCTAGACTAGATATTTTAAAAGCGCTAAAATAGAAATTAAATCACTATCAGAGAAATTTGAATACGTAAAAGGACACAAAGTGATATTTGCCAGCAAATAATGTGTGGCAGGCTTTTGATTTTTTTAAATTCTGTATAGGTCCTCGCTCTCCCTAAACATACAGTGGTATATGTGTATGTGGGATAATATATCTTTATTTACATTCCAATATAGATAGGCACCATCAAATTTTATTGCTCCTTTCCTGGCCATCCATGCTGTTGGCAAGTAAAATAATTGCAGCTTTTAAAATATCTGTGCTGCATAAGTGACTGCCGGAAGGCTTTTTGCCTAAAGAATTTTCATTTCATGGTCAGTTAAGCTCGTATGCATCTGGAAGGGAAAAAAAGGGGAAAAAAAACAGAGCCTTGACACAATTACAACACGGCCTGTTCTCACTGCGCTATGAAGGGATTAGATTTGATTCTCCAACATTATTTCTCTTTAGCAGCTCTTTCTGTGGACAGTGGTTCTGATTGTGTCGGGACTATATTAGCGGGTTTGGGGGAGAATGAGGGCACTCTGCTCTGTGCCTGGTGGCATTGTGATCGTCCCTCCGATTCTTCTCTATCGCTCATCACTCATTGTCCTCCTCAAAGACTCTCAGTCTCTCTCCTCTTAATGGAATTGATCTCAGTTTGTCCTCCTCTCTGGGACTGGTACAGACAGTGCCGTGCCTTTGATTCCATGCCTCACATTTATAAAGGACTCGGTAAGGGCTAGCGGAAGTTAGCACTGTAGCCTCCAACGTTGTCCTTTAGTTATTTTGATGCGTTTCAGAATTATATTTTTACATCTAATGCAGGAAGACTACCAATAAGTACAACTTGAGGTCCAATTAATGTAATATTTAAAACAGATGGGCAGCAAGGGAATAGAAGAGGAATGTATGTCAGGAGAATTTACACATTACCTCAAAAATCCATTCCAACTCAACTAAAGAGCAACTTATATGCCCTTTGTGTTTCTACATTGAAGCCAACTATTCCCATAAGTCTTTCCCTCTAATGCTCCACGTATGTCAGGCGAAATTAGCCGCAGATGCTGCTGGCCGAACCCAACTCGGCAAAATCCATTTCTCAGCTGTGAAGAAGTCTGGCAGGATTCAGAATGTGAAGTCATTTATTTAATCTGTTCTCCTAACAAGCTCCTGCATCTCGTTTGAGTCTCGCTGGAATCTGGGTTCTGACTGGATCTCAGAGTAGACGGAAATTGATGAAGAAGCAAATTATTTGATCACCTATTTAGACTAAGTTCAGAGATGTTCTTGTAGGTTGTGCAGAGCAGGTTTAGCATTCACATTTTGTTCTTGGAAGTCATCTTTTTTCAAACACTGGCAGAAACAGTTAATTCCATTTGCTGACATTCTTTAGTTATGCATGATACATTGCAATACAATGCATTGTTCTGTGCTTTAGTCTTTTGTAAAGACTGTAAATGTATGTATGAATATAAATAAATAGTTAACCGTGAATCAAAAAATATAATTATGGTCTATTGACTTGGCTGTGCATTTGTATGAAGCAGGTGTAAGATTCAGAGCACTCAACAATGGTAGAGCTTTAAAACATGATCCCTCACAAACCGACGAGGATCTGACTGCTGTGTCTGTGAATAAAATGGAAAATATGACCAGCGTTGCAGAAACTATATTTTTCTTCTCCTCCAACACCAAATACACACAGGCACACACGCTCACACTTTCCTCTCTCCCCCACTCTTTCTCTTTACACTTTTCTGTTATCTTATCTCCAAGCTGAGTAGTTGTGACATCAGTTGTACATCAATCTCTGAAAGTGGATTTTTTTCTTCCCCTTCACCTTCATGTTTTTCTTTTTCTTCTTTTTTTTTCTGTCAGACAGCCATTGTGACATATTGGGCCAGTAAGAAATGAAAGATATTCATGCAGGCATGCAATACTTGTAATGAAGTCTTAGCCTGACCTTCTGTGTGATTGATTCTGTAATTTAGTTTTCTCAGCCAGTACTTAAAATGAAATGAAATCATGTTGAACAAGTTTTAAATACCCATAGTGCAATGGGAGAGATGGAGGGAGGAGAGAAGAGAAGAGAAGAGAAGAGAAGAGAAGAGAAGAGAAGAGAAGAGAAGAGAAGAGAAGAGAAGAGAAGAGAAGAAGTTTTTTTGGAAGGCATTGGAACAATGTTGGGACCATTTTTTTAGAGGGGGCAATTCGCACAGGGTGAATTGAGCATGAACAGTAGTTGAGCTGTATGAAACGAGAGAATGTGTGAGTGTTTTGTAGATGGAGTGAGTGAAGAGAGTAAGTAGGTGGAGGAGAAATGAGTAGAAAACAATTTATCTTCACGCTACCATGGTCTCTGCAAGCATTCAAAATTCCATTTTCTTATTTTTTTTCTCGAGGTGCCAGTTATGCAGGTGCCCATAAATGGTTGAAAAATAAAGCAGCATGTTGGTAAAGGTTCCAGTGCAGCTGTGAATATGTGCTGGGGGCTGATAAACTATTCATAATAGAACTGACCTTTTCACACTGGCCAAACTTGTAAGATTCATCCTTATAATTACCATATAGATGATTTTACTCCTTTTTCTGTTATGGAACATTTCCAAGAGCTCTGCAGAAAGATTGAATGAAAATGGAACTTGTTAACATTCTTTACAGCATGGAACAGCTCATACCAAGCTGCTTTTAATAAACTCTCCAATTCCTTTCCCACCCCCCACAGAATCCCAAGGCCAGTATCTTAAAGAGCAGACCTGATACTCTCAGCCATTGACACGGCATCTTCAGATTCTTATCCCGATCGTCTGAAAGCAGTATTGGTTATTTTATGGTTATGAACACATGCTGAAAAAAGAGGTCTGGGGTGTTTTTTCCCTCCCGTTATATTTTCTTGACTGTTTAGTTGCGGTTTCTGCTTTTGATGAAAGGGGTGAGGATACGATTTGAGGCAGAACCAAACAGTCATCCATCAAACGTCTCAGTGTGTTGGACAAGAGGCTCGTTGTATGGTGTAGCTCTTTGGTCAGCATCTCTTTTTGGCACCTTTTAATGTCGGAATCTTTTGTGCCTGCTGTAAAGTATGTTGGGGAATAAAGATGCGAGGAGGAAAAAGGTTATTTTTTGCTGGAATACAGTCAGCCGAGATGGGCTGATTGCTGGAATAATAGCAACATTTGCACAAGCACACGCAAACACACAGAGGAGAGGATAGGGCACATCTGGCCTCTTTGCTCTTCAGATAAGAAGTTATTTACAGATTTATGAAGACTATCAAAAGCATCTGTGTAGATGTGAGCTGTGTGTCAGCAGACAATGTTCCAATCAAAATGCAAATGGAGAGTGTGCAGCAGGGACATAAATAAACAGATCGGATACTGACTCACTCATTTTACTAGCTAAACCACTCTGACAGCAGAAATCAAATTTCTTTCATTGCCGACAAAGGCTGCTATTAGCGAAAGCTGACTGCTGTTTGTGCGGGTTTAGTTTGAATGGTCCATCCATCGTTCTTTCGTTTCCATGTACCGATTATATGCATAAATATCTATTTTACACAAAATCATCTCGAGTTTTTCATTTTCATCAGATAATGTTGTCAAATCATTAGATGCTTCAAGATGAATCACAGCCTTTTTTCATAATTCACAGTGGGAATTGGTTCTACATCTGTTCTGCTTTGTGCTACCGGATCAAAGTGCTCCTGAAACTAAAGACCAGTTCTGATAGTTTCTGAGACCTCATTCACCAACATAGAGTAAAATCAAATGAGTAAGTGGGCATATGGTTGTCTGACGAATGTTGCATGTTCAAATCATTGATCATGTCGATGTATTCATTCACATGGGGGAGAAAGCCAGAACACAGAGACTTTGATAAATATGAGCCCTCAAATGCTGCCTTACATTACTGACGCATAGAGAAGGCTGTAGTGATTTCAGGGCATCGGTGGCTGTTAGTATGAAAGTGTTAGACACAGATGGTCATGACTAATGAACACAGTAGACAGGTCTGACACAAAGACTGCTGCTGGCTCTGTCATTGCATTAGTGATGAAACTAATACAAATATTGTTTTGGCGAGGGTGTAATTGTGTTATTTATTCAATGATTATTTAGTATTTCTTTTACTTGATACTTCTTTTGCAGTATGTTTCTTTAAAAAACAACAATACAACAGTGCATATTTTCCAGGATATGATGTTGAAAACAGCTATTGTTTTGTAGATTGTGTTTTTGATAAGGCACAGATTTGATATAAAGCTGTGTGTGCCCAGGGAATTAATACAAAGAGAATGTAATCTGTGTGTGAGGGAAGGTGTTAGAAAATTGTACTAAGGGAGAGGGTTCAGCAGGTCTGGCCAATAAGGCCAGGTGCACTGCTTTATGATGTGTTGACACATACAGATATTGAGTTTGAGTCTCTGAATACCAGATGGAGAGAAAGGAAAGGAGTTGATGTAGAATGAAAAAAATGAACAAAGGAGATCAAATGAACTCATGGTTTTCTCAAGCTGTTTGAGTTGATTTTGCTCTGTAATCTGGTTGCTTTTGGAGACTGTCAAATGCTATAATTTTACCCTATTTTCGATCAAACGCATCAGGCTCCTGCATACCCTACCCTGTTTTGGTCAGTAACTGACAAATGGCCAATTTGTCTAAATAACTTAAACACTAACTAAAACACAAGCTTTTATTATTCACACAATCTGCAATATTTCACAATATTGTGATATATTATTACAATTTAAAATAACTTGTCTGTAAGTATAATGTAACATTCAGTGTCACATGATCATTCAGAAATCATTCTAATATGCTGCTTTGGTGTTCAAGAAACATTTCTTATTTTTATCAGTGTTGAAAATAGTGCTGCTTAATATTTTTGTGCAAACTGTGAAACGTTTTCTTTCAGCATTCTCTGATTAATAGAAAGTTCAATAGAGCAGCATTTATTTAAAATAGAAATCTTTTGTAACAATAACTTTTGATCAAATCAATGCATCCTTGCTGAATAAAATCTAAAGTTCTGTCAAAGAAAATCTTGACAGCAAATATCTAAAAATGTTTTTGTTGTCTGTTTGCTCTGCAGGCTATTGGTCAAAACCACCTCCGTCAGTACCCTCCAAACCCCACCATGGTGATGCGCTCCATCATTAGCATGCACAACCCCAATGGCATGATGTCACAAAACCAGCTTACCACCATCAACCAGTCCCAGATCAACACTCAACTGGGGCTTAATATGACTGGATCAAACATTGCTCACACGTCCCCGTCCCCACCCGCCAGCAAATCGGCCACACCCTCTCCATCCAGCTCTATTAACGAAGACGATCCAGAGGAAGGAAACAGGGTGAGTGCCATTAAATCCATGCAATGTTTAATGCATAACGTTTAAATCAACATCCAAATAGCGAGATTTTATAATAAGTTGCCCTCTCTCTGTCAGGTGATTGGTGAAAAGCGTCCCGCCCCTGACACAGGTAAGAAGCCGAAGACGCCCAAGAAAAAGAAGAAGAAGGATCCTAATGAGCCCCAGAAGCCAGTGTCTGCATACGCCCTGTTCTTCAGAGACACCCAGGCAGCCATTAAAGGCCAGAACCCTAATGCCACATTTGGAGAGGTGTCCAAGATAGTAGCTTCTATGTGGGATGGACTGGGAGAGGAGCAGAAACAGGTATCAAACTGTTGTCCTGCGTAATAACCTCGTGATGTGCTGTAAATCGAGCTGTCTGTCTGTCTTTTTTCTTGAGCTAGAATAACAAATGTTCTTAATTTCTACTCACATTTTTGCACAGAATGATTCATGTCAGGTGTTTCAACAGATTGCTTGATATTTCACCCTTCTTTAGTTTTTTATTACCGGCTAAGATGAAGCCTGCAGGCTCTCCCTGTTGTGAAACGCATGCTTGCCAGTCAATGTTCCGCTAATTATCTGTTTACAACACCTCATGTATTCTGTTCTTCACAGGTTTACAAAAGCAAAACAGAAGCAGCAAAGAAGGAGTATCTGAAAGCTCTTGCAGCGTACCGCGCTAGCCTTGTGTCAAAGGTGAAGATGTTTTCTGTTTAAACAGCTCTCCGTCTGTCTGTTTTTCTTTCCTTCTTTCAGTCTACCTCTCGCTATTTGCTTCATTTCTCCATTCATCCTGTTTTCTATTATTTTTTCTGTTTACCAGTATGTTAATAATAGTTCAGCTCACTTTCAGGCTCAATGACTTTCATCTTGAGTGAAACAATCTTTTATCTTTTAAACCACTTTTAAAAGATAAGACCTTCTGCACAGTAAACTTTTCAAAGAAAGCACCAAATGTAGAACTGCTGAAAGCTGAAAGGTGGTTGAAAAGAGCAGTTGTTCTATGTCTAGGAGCAGTGTTTATTCCTTTGTGCATTAGTTAACATTTATTGATTTGCACGAATTGAATTTCTAAAAAACAACTGGAAAGGATTTAAATATATGATTTTTCTACAAACAGAATTCTCTTGCATACTTAAATGTGTCTGTGAATGTGTTTTTTCCATCACACTAGAGGTGTAAAAATAGCATTAAATACAGCAAATGAATTAGAATGAGATATTCTTATGATCCATCATGCCTCATTAACTCGCTGGCGGCCGGGAACATTTGCATATTTGTTGCTTCTGGTAAAAAATTAAAATAATTTTACACACAGTTTAGCACTACTGTTGTACATTTATGTTAAAGTCTAAGCAACTCAAGAACTGGATATTTGTGACACCACCATCACATTGCTCTCGATTCAGCAGCTGATTAAATCCATTAAGCCTCTTTTTTTTTTCAGAAACTCCGAACTGTAATGTTTCTTATTTTCAGTGTGCAAGACTTCAAGTCTTATTTCAGATCTTTTCCTAGGCTACTAAATAATATAAATCCCTTTCATGGCAAGTTCTTTAGATCACTGAATGTAAGACAGCAGCAATTTTCTCTGAACAGCTAAATCTGTCGAGTCAGTCACCAGATCAGCACTAATAAAGGAGAGGGCACTACAAAAGAAAGAATCTGTTGAGTACCAGAATTCATCTGACCGATCTCTATTTCTGTCTCAGGCTGCCGCAGAGTCAGCGGAGGCCCAGACGATTCGCTCAGTGCAGCAGACTCTCGCCTCCACCAGCCTGTCGCCAGGGCTCGTGATGCCTTCACCTCTATCCCAGCACCCCTCAATGTCTGCTGCAGCACAGGCGCTCCAGCAGGCCCTGCCTCGAGCCATCGCCCCAAAACCTCTGCAAATGCGCGTCGGCGGCAGCCAGATTGTCACCTCGGTCACGGTAGCTCACCAGAACATGACGCCCGGCGGCGTTCAGTCACAGCTGCTGGGGCAGATGGGAGTGGGTGGTCCGCAGTCGGGCGTGTCGTCACAATTGAGTCCACCGATGCAATCCCGGCACACTTCCATGCAGCAGCAGATGCAGCAGCAGCAGATGCAGCAGCACTTGCAGCACCATCAATTGCAGCAGCAGCAAATGCACCACCAGCAGATTCAGCAGCAAATGCAGCAGCAGCATTTCCAGCATCACCTGCAGCAGCAACTTCAGCAGCACCACATGCAACATCAGCATCAACAGATGCAGCAGCAGCAACAGCAGCAAATGCAAATGCAGCACATGCAGCAGATGCAGCATATGCATCAGCATCAAATGCAGCAGCATCTCCCGCAGTCGCAGTGTTCGCCCGTGCAGCACTCGCCCGGCACGCCGCACTCGGCCTCTCTCGGAAGCCCGCCACCCCCTCCCGCGCCCCAGCCTCACCCCTCGCAGGTACAGGCTCACGCGCAGGTCCTGTCGCAAGTGAGCATCTACTGAACCAAAAGCCCTCGGACCTGCAGTTGCAACTCCACGAGAAAGGCAGAAGGAAGTTGTTATTGAAAAGCATCATTACAAGGTTGCTTTTTTTAAGTTGCACTTAAGAAGTGTGTAAAAAAATATGAATGTTATACAAAGAACTGTCCTTTGTTCTAGATGGATATAAGATACGTTTTAAAAGGACAAAGCTTCTTAGCTGGATTTTTTGTCTATAAGATAGGCTGAGCTACCGGGAGGTCTGTTCATAGACTTGCGTGCCCAGTAGTAATTTGTATGTATATTTAGTTCATTTGGTTTTTCTCTCTCTGTTGTGGAGTTTAAACTCTGTCGGAGCATGATGACATGGGAAGAACATTTAGAGACGATCACAAAAACACCTGATGGGTTTATTTAACAGCTTTATTTATGAGGTTGGATTTGCTCTCACCACCAGACAAAATGAAAGAATGAATGGGGAATTCAGAAAGAAGGCACTGCATCACAGAAGGGATAGAGATGATCTGAACAATGCACAGGTACTAAACTGGTCATCAGAGACATGCCGAATGGCTCTTGCACTGTCCGGCCAGTGTATCGTCAAGTCTACCTTCTCTTCTTCCCTTTTCCATCATCCTCCTTGGCATTCCTACAGATGAAACTGTTTAACAGTCACTGTCGGGAAGCTCTCAATCAGCTCAACCACGTGGTGTTTGACACATCTCATACTGTTATCAAACGGGAAAATATGTAAAACACAGTTTTGCTGGACTATTTGACACGCTTCCATAGATCATTTCTGTCATCACGTCTCTAAACACTTTTTTTGACCTGCTGTTCTGAGGAAAGTGGAGAGTTCTTGGAGTTGCTCTTCTCCTCTAGCCAAATCCCTCAAAACTCTAATTTACTTCAACAGTAGTAACAGCACTCCAAAAATCATTCTTCTCTGTAATTATCTTTACCTCAGAAAATTTATTGAATAAGTTATGTTTTCTTTCTTTCTTTTGTGTAATGGAAACACATGGCTAAATGACTGAATTTAGGCTGTTGGTTTACTGAGTGGGGTATTTGTATTTCATAATACCCTACATTTCACGACAAGGACAGTTAAACAGGAATTTTATCAGATGTTTTTTTACTATCATAGAAAGGTCATGGAAGTATTTTGTGCCAGCTGTAAAAGAATCAGTGGTAAGATAAAAGAAAATGAAGTTGTACATTTTTCATACCTCTTGTTGTAAAGTTTTAATATGTGAGGCTTTAAATGCAGATGTTGGCAAGCTGACCTGTCACCTGCTTTATCTCATAGTACTCTTTTCTACTTTTTTATGAGTTACAGTAGCAGCAAATCATTTGTTTGAATTTTTTGCTTACATTTCAAAATTAATTGTTTTTAAAAACCTGACAGTAAAATAAATACAGTTGATGTCATTTGGAAACTCCACCTGCTTTTAAACGTCATCAATGTCATTTATTAAGTTATATTTTAGCCACCCAAAAACACATTTAAAAGAGGCATTCCATCATCATCATCATCATCATCATCATCATCAATATTATACTAGCCATAATTTTGTATTATATTGTCTCTCTGTGTCTCTCTGTTTGCAATTAAAATAATCAAAAATATTTATTTCAAGGAACTGATTCATTTCAAAGATTATATTAGCCATACTTTTGTATAAAATATTTCCTCAATGTGTCCTTGTTAGTTCTGAAAGATTTAAAATAAAGACATCAGTACTTCAAATATTCTGTTTATTTCGGATACACAGGTGTATATTTTTCTTGTACCAACTCAACTCAAACAGATATTTGATTCTATTTCTTTCTACAAATGTTTGAACAGTGTTGGTGTGTCCATTTATGTTTCTTAATATGCCTGTGAAAGCAGAGTCATTAAGATGGGCATTCACAGCAACCTCCTTTTCCACGGCGTTTCACAGTTTAATGACCCCTGAGCCCCCAGACAGAAATATTTGTAGGGGGAAGGTAGGATTTAAAAAAAAGGCTAATTATCATAAATGCACAATAAGCACGTGAGGACAGTGCTGACCGGTGCTGGTATTTTACACGCTATGCCAGACAGAAGGGAAGGAATCTGTGCCTGCGCATATCTTGTTCCACATTAATAGAATTCTCAATCTGTATTTTGTACCCAATTAGTTAATTTTGAGAATGCTTGTGCTATTTGCATGAGAGAGGCTGCCGTGATTGGCTCTCGAGTCGGGTTTTGTGTCACAGAGAAGCCCACACTCTCACTCTTTGATTAATTGCAGCATCTGTTCTGTCAGAGGGTGTAGTGGAGAGGTCTGCAGGAAAACTGCAAATAAGTGCTGGCAACAGTCTTAAAGCGCCTATGATGAAATGAAAATTAAAAACAGCGAGTACCCCACATGCCCTGAATTTCAATAGAAGTGGGGAGAGAGAAGGAGGGAGAGAGTGAAGATTGCTAAGCATAGAATGTAAGAGTGGTGTCCATGGCGACCAAACACATCCTTTAAAAACAGCCGGTAATGAGGGGCCGGGAAATAGCGCTTATTATTCCGAACAGTCTCATGGAGGGCAGCATCAATAATGCATGCAGTACCTTGTTATTTGGTAAACCTTGTTATCCGCATGGTCTCAGTGAGGATAAATATCTTGCAACAAGGGTTGGAACTCTGACACACCCCAGTGATGAATGAATAAATAAAGGTTTGCAGATATTTTCAAAACTTGTATTATATGTCCTAATAACAGCGGATGATGTTGGCACACCAGTGATTATGAATCCAATTGTGTGCCGTTTCAGGGACAGAATGAAAACTGATCATATCTACTAGACCTCATTTAAATTCAATCAATGCTTCATAATCTTGTGAAAATGTTGTCAATGTTTTAAAATGTAGCATAAAATATGTATTTTCCCCATATAGTTCCATTTAAATGCTTGAAGGAATAGTTCACCTAAAAATTATAATTCTGTCATCATTTACTCACCCTCATGTTATCCCAAACCTATGACTTTCTTTATTTTATGGAACACAAAAAAGATGTATGAAGAATTTTTCAACAGTTGTGTCCACAAACGAACACAGACGTACAGCTTTAAAACAACATAAGGGTGAGTAAATGACAGAAATTCGATTTTTGGGTGAACTATCCCTTTAAGTAAAATGTTAAAACATTCATCAAAGCAAACATAAATTCCACCTCGACTGGAATTACCCTAAAGTAGAGCTTATGATTTCTAACTATAGAATCTAGTTCAAACCATAGTCACATGATTGCACAGTAGTGTTATTGCATATAACCTAATATTCCACTGTAATTCATCACGTGTGTGTTTTTCTCAAATCCTTGTGGAGACATTTTTTGTCCCCATGAGGAAAACAGCTTATAAATCATAGGTGATGCTTTTTGAGAATGTAAAAATGCAGAAAGTTTTTTGTGATGGGTATGGTTAGAGGATAGAAAATACAGTTTGTACAGTATAAAAATAATTATGTCTTTGGAAAGTCCCCATAACACATGAAAACCCAACGTGTGTGTGTGTGCGCATATGCATTTTAATTTAGCCTATGTTAAAGAAGACATGGTAGAAAAGGTCATATGCATTGTGAATGTCCCATTTTTGTAATATCAATCAATGATTGATTAGCTATCTTTCATTACCCTGCTGTCTATGCAGATACAATGTGAGCTGTGTGACAAAAGGTCTGTGGCCTGAGGCTGAGACCGTGACCTCAGTGCCAGTTTCCATCAGAGCAGGAAGAGAAATGGCCTTCATTTATATCATTATATTGCATTTAAGATGGATTATACTTTCTACCAAATTCAAAGCTGAACGGCTGCTGTTGTGAAGAGACTTATTTTAGTTAGCAATCAAGTATTGGCTACCTCACTACATTATCCAAATTTGAATGAAACGTTTGTGATCTGTAATTTAAGGTAATCATTAATACAGCTTCTTGGTTTCTGATAAAGTAGTCACTGATAGAGCAGCTAAATGACAGATGGTGAGTTTCTGGTTGTGGGCATCAATTGTGTAGCTTAGCAACAATAACCAAATAGGGTAGAACTTGAATAGGGTCACAAAACATCAGTAACACTGTCCAGTAGGCCATGCAGTTTGCTCCTCCATTAACAGAACAAACCCCTTCCCACCCAGCTCCCAAAGCACACATGCAACCTTTGACCTGACTTCAGACACCTGCATGGCCTTGCAGTGAGTGAAGTGTTTCGCTGACTAGCTTTGGGCAAGACCCAGCTTTTGTTTGCACAATGTTGACCTCTCAGTCAGAGAGAGAGGGAGAAGTTTCTTTAGGTGCTGTTGACCTGCTGGTGCTGCAGTGAACTCGTGTATGAAAGATTCCCCAGACTGAATGAATGTCTGAGGCAAAGTAAAGAACTTGACTTTCAAGACTGTTTTTCATTTGCTTTTCTTTAAGGCAAATTTTCAGAAAATTTCAGTGGTGCATGTATTCAATGAATGAATTAAAATAAACTTTAAAACTACAGTATTCTATAAAAATTAATATACTATCAAGCACTCATTTTTTTTCTTTAAAATCTACTATAGTGTTCAAAATGTGACTAATACCAGATATTTAAGGAAGTGTGTACTTTGATCCAGTGATGTTTTTTGTATTATCTATATACTATTATAGTATTTATTAATATTTAGAATTTTATATTTTAAGTTTTAGTAATCTTATTTGCTTTTGTCATTTTAGTTTTTTTAAAGCATTTTTTTTTGTTACCATGCTTTACAGAGTCTTTCTGTATATGATGCTTCTTTCCACAAAATATTTTCCATTGTTCCCACAATTGGTTGAATGGTTGTTAGACTTGATAGTGAGATGAGCATCAATTGTTTACTTAGTACAGTAACAGTAACAGCAGCCTTTGCTTTTCCACAGCACTTTATCAAAGCAATAGCAACGCAGAGCCTATTTCTCCCAAGTACATCAAATGGGTTTCTAGCTGTTCCCAGCAGCCCTCTCAGCTCTGGCAGAAAGAGCAGAACTGCACTAAATTGAAGTTTAAATTCCCAGAAAATAGTTTTCGCTAACGCAGGATACTTATATGCACTTATTAATGTCAAGTGAGATTATTCTGTTGAGCTATATTTCACGCCTCCACTGCAATGATGAATACAATGAAACCCTCAATATTTTAACTTCAGCATGTTCATTTCACAAAAATGTCTTACATTTTATGAACTTGCTGGATGTAAGGGAGTGAGGATCATTTCAAATTCTATTCATTGTTCACCAAGGCTCCAATAATTGTAAAGTGCTGTCTTTGAATATACTGAGGTTTGGTTAGAGCAGTTCAGCACTCCAAAAGACGTTGTTTTTTTTCCTCTCGTTTTCGTTTTCTTAACTCATAAATATTCTACTTTTTTCAAGAGTCACTTTTTATTGGTTAGATTAATAAAAATAATAAAAAGACTGTATTTCCTATTTCATTTCAATTCCTACAAACAAAACAGCATGGCCAAAGTCAAGAAATGATGT